AGAGAGAGAGAGAGAGAGAGAGAGAGAGAGAGAGAGAGAGAGAGAGAGAGAGAGAGTAATGGCCGTTGTTGTTGTTTTTTAAAGAAAAAAAAGCCGTAGATAGCGAAGATCAACGGCCGATATGGTTTTTTTTTTTTTTTTGTTTGTTTGTTTGTTTGTTTGTTTGTTTGTTTGTTTGTTTGTTTGATATAGTTATTTATATCTGCGTGCAAGTCGGACTTCGCTGGCGGAGGAGTGATGGTGCTGGGGACCACCATGCAGTCGCAAGAATCAGCATATACTCACACACTAATTCCTTTTCGACCGATTACTGGACGCAATTTCAGTAAAATGCATCTAATACAGGCCGTAATTGCAGTCAGATACGTCCCGGAAAGTTCAGTACTGTGAGTGTATGCTCATTTACTCATGTAATTTCACTCACAACGTTCTGCACGCAGGCAAGCAGGTCTCCGTTGGGGCCCCACTCTAGTCCCAAAGCTCGCCCTCCCACATCCGCCCAATCATCGACCTGCCCATCAGGTTCCATACGCTGGATGTACCCGTTGATAGCGGACCCGAAATAGAGCCTCCCTGACGAATCTGCAACGAGATCTTCAGGACCAGACACGTGTTCGATCCCCAGCTTCTCAGCGCGCTTCAGCTCCTCGTTGGGAGTGAAGACTGCTCCCTCCATCGACGGAGGAGGGGCGTGCTTCTGCCCGACCGGATCAAATCCCGTAGGGACGGGCACGTAGAACTGGAACCACACTGCCGCCATAGCCACCATAGCCACGGCTATGGTCGCTGCGAACGTGACCGCCATCGCCATGACTTAGATCGGCTGCGTCCCGTCCGCCCCGTCACTTCGTCCGCCGGCCGCTCTTCCCGTCGGGACCACCACGCAGTTACTGGCAAAATGCTCGGTCTTTGCGTTACCCGGCCCCTCCCTACTCGCTGACCACCGCGGATTAGGGCGGGGCCCACGGCTCCCCTGGCTCAGGAGAAGTGCTAGGTAGATACTAAAACGTGAAATTTGAGAGAAGCGTATAGCTTCGTTTGGGAAGGGAAAAAAAACTTCAGAAAAACTATCAGCAGCAGTCGCCCCCACGGAATGAACGAACAACTGCTGGGCCGCCTACCATGGGCCTCGCTCCAGTAGTCACGAAATGTGCAAAATGAGAACGAATCTTCCCCTAGAACATGGGACGATGCATGTGGTGAGTACGCCAGTCACTTTCCCCGACGAGACTACCGAATTCACAGGACTATCAGCAGCAGTAGCGGCCATGGAATGAGCAACCGCTGGGCTGCCTACCATGGGCGTGGCTTCTGTGCTCACCAAATGTGCAAACATGAGAATGAATATTCCACTAGAACATGGGAAGATTCACTGCCTTTTTTTTTTTTCCAAAGGGCACGGCCTTGAGATATCATCATTGAACTGAATCCAGCCGCCTAGCTCAGTTGGTAAGGCACGCAAGTGGCATTCAGGAGGTGCAGCGGGCCTCCATCTGCCCCGGCCTACAGCCAGGGCCTATTCGGCTATTTGCCAGTTTGGCCTGTGGGACCAGGCCGGGGCCTGACCCCACAGGCCGTGTGCTGTTCCAGTACCACTGTCGGTACCAGGCCAGTCCAGTCCAGCCCAGTCAGTCCGCTGGGGGTATACCCCAGCTGTTGTCTGTTTTTCAGATCATTCTTCATTCTGCACTTTTGGAGTACCTGCGTGTTGAGTCCACGTCGGAGCTGCGCTGTCCCTTCCAGCTCCATCTCCATCTCCTCCCCCTCAACCCTTCGTCTTGATCCTAACGGACCGCCATCCCGACTGGTCCATCACACTGGTATCAGAGCGGGAACGTTCCCCGCTCCCACCCACCCTGGCCCCCACCGTTGTAAACCCGAAAGCGGGTTTTTTAGGTGTTTTTCGGGCCAAGGCCGCCGCACACGCACACGACCACGCTACCCCACTGCCGTGCCCCGCCCCGCTCCGGAATTATCGTTATCGAAATTTGGGATGCATACTACTGCCAGGATTTGACCCTGGACAGCTGCTGGCGATGCACATGTGTAGCCACCACTATAACACACTAGCCACAATGTGTCTATAACTCAATAATGCGGTACGCTGGTGTTGAAGTGGTGTTGTGCCAGCTATTTACCCCCCCCCCCCCCC